AATATATATATATATATATATATATATATATATATATTTATATATATAAAATAATAATAATAATAGAAATAAAAAGTCATGCCAAAATCACCTTTCAAATAATATTTCAAATCAAGATACATATTTAAACTGATTGCTTCGACAAAACTGTGATAATGACGCTCAACATCTGACAGGTTTTTATTATATTAGCCTTCTTCATGTTAGAACGCAGTCATGGAAACGTTATTAAAACTAGCCATTGTGCCATTTCATTCGAAATTAAACCCATAGTTTAAATGGTGAAGTTGCTTCATTATATACAAATATTTGGAATTTGGTGTAAGTAAACCCTAAACAACATGATTGTTATGTTCCAAAAAACTGCTGCATTATGTACATCCAATTTTAAATGAAACAAAGGTCAAGTACAAAAATCGAAATTAGGTTTCAAAAATTTATATAATAACTTATATTTTTATAATAAAGACAAACATGTTTATTATTAAATTTATAAGAATACTTATTGAATGATTTAAATAATATTTTCTTCCTCTTTACTATGTGCTAAAATATCTCGCTAAATGAAAAAGATATTTTCATTTTCTGAGCATTTTTCTGAACTACTTTTAGATACATTTCCTATTGTTTTCTAAAAAACTGTTATTTTCGATTGCTCGCTTCTAGTGGAGTGATTTTTATAAATATCTTTATATGATTCTAAGCACTTGCAAAGTCATCTTTTAGATTTTGTGCTTATTATATTTAAAAGAGCTTCATTTAAGACATATGATTAAAAAAGAAAATCTATATCTTGTTTCTTTATCTATCTACGTATAGTTTGCACTAGGTCTATCACCATTATTGAGCTACTGTTCAGTGACTTCGCTAATTTCAAATAAAATAAAATTTGCTTAATAGCTTTTATTGTATTTCTTATTTTATTATAGTTTTGCCTAATTTGTGAACTGTGTTAGAGTCAAAAGGTGCTATAAAAGTATTGTATTAAAAAGGAGATGTTCTCAATTATTTAATCATGTTAGAGCGAATTCGTGTTATAGAAGTACAGTGGTAATTTGGTCTCAAGAGATTCAAATTGACTTGAAATGTGAATCAAAAGATTCAAATGGCTTGAGAAAATACAAATCTAACAAGCCAGATTTTATTGGGAAAACAAACTCCCCTTTTGTAAAATTCAAAATTATGAACATTATCACATGAATAAACTGTGAATTTTTTTTATAAACCAGCTACTTAGAATATTAAAATTACGAACTCAAATTTTATCTTTATCTCTTTAATAAGAATAATTTATATTAAATAAATACTAAATTATAATCTTACCTTGCAGGTGCAAACTTTAACGAAGGAGCTATCATTTCTGAAAGAGTTATTCCTGCTGCATGCAAGCCAGAAAGGCGAACAATTGAAACCAAGTGATATTGCAAGAGTTCTTTCTGATGATGTTACGGGTTCTTCAACTGCACCTACAACCAGCAGTAGTTCAGAAAAAACCTAAAACCTAGGTTAGGAATAAAAATTATATTAATAGAGTGAACTCAGTATCTAAGATGTGGTGTTAATATTTATGTTAAGTTAGATGAGTATGGAAACAATATTTATAATATACATATATTTTAGTCATTATTTTAACTTACCGATTTTCTAAAGATTACCATGATGATCATTGGGCAGTCTATTTCACTTGTGCCAGAAAATATTCATAGAGTGCTAATAGAACATTCTTTAATTGAGTCTAAGTTTTCTTTTCAAATTCAGACATTTGTTATTAGTTAACAATACTTCTTGAAGTTTTTGTTGGATAACAGATATCTTAAAAAAATGTAGTTTGTTGTTAATGAGTTCTGGAAAACAGTATAGTCTATTATATATACCTATATGGGAAACCAAGGGATTCGAATCATTCAAATCAAGTCTTATGTAAGTCCTTGATATTTTGACTCGAA